ATCAATTGCAGGCTATTCGGCCGTCGTCCATTCTCCTCGTCGACCCGACGAGCGGACATCATCCGCCCGGCGACAGCCCCCAAACCCACCCCCGACGTCAAGCACATCCGCCAAAACCCCGAGCTCTACTCCAAGAACTGCGTCGACCGCAACTATCCCGCGCACGCCAAATACCCCTCCAAGATCCAGCAGCTGACCGACGAAGCGCGACGTCTCGACCAAGACCTCAAGACCCCGCGAGCCCGCATCAAGGAACTGGAGAAAGCCATTGCCAAAGTCGCCAGCGCCGCCAACAACGACACCTCCACCGAACTTTCCTCCCTCCGCGCCGAAGCCACCCGTCTGAAAGATGACTCCAACAACATGTCCACCCGGAAAACGACCTGCACCGACGAAATCCACCGACTCGCTCTATCCCTCCCCAACCTCTCCTCCACCCACACCCCCATCGGCGCCGACCCAACCCTAATCAACTACATCAACTTCGACCCTGAATCCCCCCCGACATGGGTAACCCACCCCGACCCCAAACGCTCCCACGTCACCATCGGCACAAACCTAGGTCTCCTCGACTTCACCAGCTCCGCCATCACCACCGGCTGGGGCTGGTACTTCCTGACCAACGAGGGCGCCCTGCTCGAACAAGCCCTCGTCCAATACGCCCTCAGCGTCGCCCGCCGCCACGGCTGGAAAGCCGTCTCCCCTCCCTCCCTCGTATACTCCTACATCGCCGAAGCCTGCGGCTTCCAACCACGCGACCAACACAACGAGCAACAGATCTGGTCCATCGAGCAAAACGAAAAGGACAAGTCCAAGCCCCAACGCTCCCTAGCCGGCACCGCCGAGATCCCTCTCGCGGCCATGCACGCCGGCCGCGACATCCCCGCTACACAACTGCCCCTCCGTCTCGTCGGCCCCAGCCGGTGCTACCGCGCTGAAGCCGGATCCCGTGGCGTCGACACAAAGGGTCTGTACCGTGTGCATGAATTCACCAAGGTCGAGATGTTCGCTTGGGCGGATAACCTCCCTGACTCTACTACTGCTACTACTACTACCAAACCAACTACTACCTCGGATGACCTCTTCGCTGAGCTCCTCTCCATCCAGACGGAGATCCTCACCGCGCTGAACCTCCCCGCCCGTGTCCTCGAAATGCCCACCTCCGACTTGGGCGCTAGCGCTAGTCGTAAGCGCGACATCGAGGTCCTCTTCCCGTCGAGACTGCGTGCCGGGGATCTTGAGTCCGGCTGGGGAGAGGTTACTTCCGCGTCTATCTGTACCGATTACCAGAGTCGTCGGTTGGGGACTCGTGTGCGTGGTGGAGCAGCGAAGGAGTCGCGGTTCCCGCATACGGTGAACGGTACGGCGATGGCGGTGCCTCGTGTGTTGGCGGCTATTCTGGAGAATGGGTGGGATGCTGAGAGGGGGGTGGTGGTTGTGCCGGAGGTGTTGAGGGGGTTTATGGGTGGGATGGAGGTTATTGGGGGGCAGTGAGTTAGCATGTTGTGTTGTATAGATGGTGTATATGTATGTATGATAGGATGTTGAATGAATAGCTGTATTATATCTACTACGTATTACTACTTGTTGATACTATATGGGCTAGGGATTCGGGATAAAATAGATGGTCAACCCTGTATTGTATATCCGGCTACCCATCTATATCTAAGAAACTCATCACTAGCTAGTAGGTAAATGTAATTGTATGACATGGCGTGCGTAATCGTGCATGGAGAAACAAACAGAACAAGAGAAGGGAAAAAGACAGAAAAAGGATCATAACATCGTGGACACATTCAGGTCGTATCGTTAGTGTAGTAATTCAGAACATATGATATGGCAAAAAATGTTAACGAGACGTGAAACGAAAACATAAACAACATAGACAAACATGGTATGCATTGACATCAACAAGGATAATTCAATCGGGGAGAGGGGCGTAGATTATAAAAGCGTCAAAAAGCATAAACATAAACCATCAAGCATATAGCATAAAGCATAAGGTATCTGATCGAGAATTCGTGACTGAACTTGGTTCCGTAAACTTCCAGGGTATCGTTATGTGGCGTAATTGCGTAATGAGGGGATATATGTTTTGTCGATTAATAGGCTGTGCTATTATTCCCACGGGATATCTTCGTCGTCGACTTTGGTGCAGGTCAAATACGGCAACCCGCCCTCGCTGTATTCACTACCTTTTAGATCCAATTCGAGGAAATTGCGCATGAGCGGCTTGACTATCTCGCGGGCCAGCCGCTTGATCTCGTCCATTTTGCGCTCGAATCGTTTCAGGACTTCACGGGTGTATAGCGACTCCGAGGAAGGGGTTGGATGCACTTTAAGGAACCGTTTCAGGTCCTCGTGGGATAGGTAGGCTTGGCTGCTGGAGGAGCCGATGAGTCGGTAGACTCGTGCGGCGGACCAGGGTGGTGCGGTGCTTGTGGTTGTCGTGGTGGTCTTAGAAGTCGAGTCTGTGGGGCGGTGGCTCGTCGATTGCGAACTGCGGATGCCGTGGGTGCTGGTGCTGGCGTGCGCATTTGCTGTGGAGTTCTTGAGAATGGGGGTGGGCGGGGGCGTCGTGCTGTCGACGAGCCATTGTCGGAACAGCGAGACGGCCAGCCAGTCTAGGTAGGCGTTGGTGGGACTGACGCGCTCGCCGCGCGAGGTGGTCAGGGTGAGCCGCAGGAGCTTGGAGTCGATACGCGCTTTCAGGTCTTCCAGGTCCTCGACCTTATCTTCGATGATGTCCAGGACGGAGTTGGGGAGCGGCGAATACGGTCCGTTGCGCAGATGGGGCAGGCCGGCTGGCCATTGTCCCACGACGTGGATGAGAGCCTCGGAGAAGATGACGCGGCTGCGCGCCAGGTAGCCCAGTTTCAGGTAGCTCGGGGGATACTTGGCGATCTGCTTGAAGAGGCGCGAGCCAAAGCCCAGTAGATGGTGGTCAACGCGAGGTCCGGTCACAGGTAGCGCATCGTACATGTCGGCCAGGTTGAGCAAGGCCCGGCACTCGGCGTAGGCAGTTGCAATATTGACACTGTTGAGCAGCGGCGGGTAGTTGTAGAACAGGCGGAACAGATTGTCGTAATCGCGAACGATGGGATTTGTGGGTGGGTGTGCCGTCCCAGATCGATGAGGGAGGTTGACCACCGACTGCATGCCGGCCAGGTTGGCCATCGACCGGACAAAGCCCGTTTGAGAGCTGGACGGTTTGGTCACGGATGGCGGATATTGTCCCGAATCGCAACCAAATGCGCTGGAAAAGCTGGGAGGCTATAGAGATTCGGCGATTAGCATTGCTAATGGTCAATTCACAAGGCTTCAATCAACTAACCTTTTGTACCAGAATTGGCTCCTCATCCTCCTCCTTGTTCACCCAGTCCAGTTCATACCTCCAGCGTCTCTTTTCGACCGACCAAGCGGATCCTCCACTCTCCGATTGGGCCAGGGTTGACCCGTTTGATAGCGAAGAGGCATCCTCACTAATTCTCGAAAGCACGCCGGTGTCCAGGTTTGGCGGCCTCGGCATGGATTGTCGCGACCACTCCTCGCGGGTACTGGCCTCGAAGAAACCCGAGCATTGCGCCAATATCAATCGATGCAGGAGGTAGCGTCGCTCCTGGTCTCCTGCGCGTACCACAATCTCGACATCGCCCGTGTGCGTGAAAATAGGAAAGTCGTTTTGCTGTTGATGGGTGAGCCCTCCATGATGGGAACGACTGGAACGATGTCGCCGACTGGAATGAGAATGGCGCGACACGGAGGAGGCAGCGCTTTGCGGCGGGACGGAGCGATCGAGGACCTGAGCTTGAGACACCATTTCGATGGGCGTGACGGTAGCAGTGGGAAACTTGGTGGACATGGTCCGTCAGGAAGAGATGCGCGGTGACCAGACGCCAAAAGAGAGCTGCTGCAGAGAGCGGGCCGTCATTCAAATCCAACAGACGCGCCCCGGTCGGGAATTCGTCAACACGGCCAGCGAGGAATGTTTGGACCCGCGACGCCCAGGACAGAGACAGATTTGCGCAGAGGAGTTTGGGAGTGGCGGCGGATTCCCGGTTGTTGATCCCCGCGGGCGATAACAAAGTGGGCCACCGAGAAGAACTAGAGAACTAGTAGCAGAAGATGAAGGAAATAAAGACAAAAACGAGAGAGAGAAGACCGAAAAAAGGACCAGGCTAAGAGAATAATGATCCGAAGAATAGGAGTCGACTGGACCGAATGCAATCAGGATGCAGCCAAGGCGAGGAAGATGCAGACTGAAGCCGACAGACCAGTTACAGCCGATAAATAAACATAGGGTCCAAAACCATGGCTTCGAGATGGATTTCCGTGGGAAAAAAGATGGTCTGTGTGCAGCGAGAGACTGGATGACAGCGGTTGATACCTTAGTACTTAGTATCGAGGCCTGTCAAAGAAGGATAAAAGATCCACCAAAGCAAAAACCCCCTTGGGCGTGATCCAAAACTGCTTTGACTCGAAGTGTCCTTTGACTCCTGGGAATTCTGCTCTGCGACCGACCGAAAAGGAGAAGCGAAGGACGTCAAGCAGTTCAATCGGGATTCGTTCCATCGACGGCCTCGCAGTTGCGTTGATGCCTCTTGATTGGCTTAGACTGGATAGTCGGATCCGTCTGTTCAGCTGCCTTTTGTCGGATGATCCCCGACTCCATTCTTTCCTAATGCGTCCTCTTTTTCCTCATTTCGGATTCCCAAAGAGAGAGAGGGATACCCACCAAAAGTATAAACGCCATTCCTTTCCTCATCTTTCTCTTTCCTGATTGATTTCAATGTCCGTCCCGCTGGCTGCCCCGTATTCAAGGTATCCAAGGCATCTCATCCTGTTCTGTCATGCTCTTGTATGACACTAGCCCCTTCTGGCTAGCGGGAGTGCATATTATGACTCAGCATCACTCCACCAATGGGGATGCTTGATTCCTTTTTTGGCGGCATTTGGATTCCTTTGCGGCGCAGTTCCAGATCTTCTTTCAGCCCTCTTCTTCCTCCCCCTCCTCTTCTCGTCGTCTATTCTTCTTACTTCATTTCTTTCTTCCGGCTTGAATCATCTTGCCGTGTTCTTCATTCAACTAGCAGCATTCAGCACCCCCCGAGTGGTGTGCTCTCAATGTGCTGGGTGAAGCTCTCCTCCCCCACACCCCATTCCGTGTCGTGACGAGTCCCAATGATGGCGAGTGTCCTGTGTAGACACTCGTCTCGAGCCGCCTGCATCGGATTGCGATTCTCCCACCCACCAGAGCAGTGACCCGTTCGTCTGCTCCCCCACGGTCCGAAGTGATGTCGAAGGGCTGCTATACCTGTCGTCGCCGCCGCATCATCTGCGACAACGGCTTACCAACATGCCGCAAGTGCCGCGATGCGGGGAAGGAATGTCTGGGGTATCAGAAGCCCCTCGTCTGGGTCAAGGGAGGCGTGGCCAGTCGGGGGAAGATGATGGGTCGCAGCTTTAATGAGGTTATGCGCCCTTCAGATCTTAGGCGCGGTGACTCGAGCCCCTCTTCCTCCAGCAATGCGTCGCCGCCGTCAGCTGCCGATTCGCCTACCCAGTCTATCGACATTAGCTTATGCGTACCCCCCAACGTGTCGGGCATCCAGGGTATCCCAGAATCGATCCAGTCGGAGGATAATGATGATCAGGAGACGCAAGTTGTCTTGCAAAGAGCTACCTCTGTCTCCGCGCCTTGGGGCCTGGTGGATCCGCTGTTCAAGGACCTGAGTCAGCTGTCACGGTTCTACATCGTGCATTGTATGTTTGCCAATTTATCTACCTGTGTGATCCCTGTCTAATCATCCCGAAGTCAACCAGAACCTTGCCAATTACCTCACCCTCTACTCCGAGACCGGCAACCCGTACCGTGACCTCATTCCCTTGGTCGGCGACTCTCCTCTCCTCGCCCACGTCCTCGCTGCCACCGGTGCCTTGCATTATGCCATCCTGGCGAGCGGTGACTTTTCCCTGACGCCATGGTTGTCGGAGGGTTCCCCAACAGACCGCACCCTCCTGTCTCCGGAAGAGGTAGAAAAGTCCGTGATCACCTCGATGTCTCGGCGCCCGTCGTCCAAGGTATATGAGCATTTTCTCGGACTCAAGCAGCGCGCCTTAGGGCAGTTATCGAGCGACATCCGGGATCCCGTTCTGCGCAATGATAACAGGACCCTCGCTGCGATCACAGTCCTCGCTCTGATGGATGCCATTGAATCGGGAGATGGCGCCTGGAAGTTCCACCTCGAAGGGGCCAAAAAGCTTCTCAAAGGCCGCCAAGAACAGGGGGCCTCCAGTCCGCCTCAATACCTCGTCAAATGGCTGGAAGATTTCGCTGTCGACGGCATTCTCCTGTAAGCCATATAACCTTCTCCCTGATAAGGGACACACATACTGACACATCCCCCAGCATCCAACTCATGGGCTCCACCCTCGCTCGCCCAGGGTCCCTAACCAAACCCTTCTATACCTCCAGCATGGGCCCCGCCATGCTCAAACGCCTAGAAGAAACCTCCTACGTCGGTTGTCCAGCCTATCTCCTCGAAGTCATCCTGCTCATCCACGCCGGCCTCTACTTCGACCCGGACGTCGACCCCAACTCACAGCCCTCCATGATCTTCACCTCTGCCTTCCTCTCCCAAGACACCAACCCCCTCCAATCCCCCGGCGCTCTTCTCCAACACATCCAAGCCTTCGACCCCTCCGCCTGGGCCGAGTCCATGCAAAGCTGCTACTACCTCGCAGACCTCTCCATGCGAACCGCCCTAGCCACCGTCTTCAAAGGCGCCGTCTACCTCTACGCCAGCCGCGTTCTCTCCCGCCCGCGTCCCGGCGCCGCAACCATCCCCAACCACTTCGGACTCCCCTCCGACCACGCCGAAGTGGCAGACCTAATCATCCGCAAAATCGCTCTCATCCCTATCGAAGATCCCCACTTCAAATGCCTCATCTGGCCCACCTTCATTGCCGGCGCAGAATGCAGAGACCCCTCCCAGCGTCCCTTTGTACTCAACAAACTGCGCGCGTTGTACTTTAATATCACCAGCGTGAATGTCCGCAACGCAGCTTGGGTTTTGAGCTTGATGTGGCAGAAACAGGATCAGAAGAAGGCTGAGAAGGAACAACAGCAGCAACGGCCTACCACTACCAATACCGATAATTACCCCCATGACGATGTTAATGATGACGATGACTTTGATTGGATTCAGGAATTGGATAATTCCAGGATTGACTGGTTGTTTATATAGTTGTTTCTGAGATATTTCCTTTTTTTTTTTTTTTCTTTTTTTTTCCCTTTTGCAGTGGGATGGATGAGATAACCTCTTTCGGGGAAAGGGAAGATATCTTATATTTCACCTTATTGTATATAGATGATATAATACATAATTGTACAGTGCAACTTACTAGCTTCCTATACTTATTGCATTACGGTTAGTAGTAGATGTTACTACTTTACATTACAATCAGTAGTACCCAAATGGAACTACACTACGATAGTAGACTGTGACAAGGTGTAATAGGGCCTTACCCCTTTCTCTTCTTGCACATTCATCTCTGCTTTTATTCCTGGACTACACCTAACATCAAATATGGATGATTTGTAGGAATGAACCCTATGTAACAAGACCACGGGACTGTCTGTAGATTGTGCATTGAAGGGAGAAGAAAAGAAAACAAGAAATGTGATGGGAGGTATAATAAATAGAATTATAAAATGAAGGAGAGGTTTGGTAGACAAGTAGATAGTAGGGAGAGAAAAGAAGAGAAATATAATGAATACTAATCACTCAGATACGGAAACATACAGCAAAATGGTGGGGGTGTAACCGATCAAAATAACTCCGAAAACGCTCAGTATAGTAGAAAGAACACACACACACACACACACACACAAGATCCCTAAGAATAGTAGCAAGACTGCAAGGTGTTGATAGTAGTGTAGGAAATTGAAGAGGTGAGTCCCCGCGCTTTTTGAAGATGAATAGATGATGATGATAAGAATGTACGTTGTAGCGCACTGTCCCAGACATGGCGACGATTGGAAGTGGAGTGGGTGTAGGTTCAACTGCCAGATCGGTTTATCGCAAATGCGCAGAATATATATATCGGAAGAGAGAAGTAAAAAGAGTAGATTGAGGAGAAGTCGAGAAGGGGGGAGAATGGAGATCAAAAGACAAAGTAAATGGAAACAACCAGATGAGGGATATATGCATACTCCTGCCCATCTAAATGCAGCAAGTTCAACAGGGAATAAAAACACGCTCATCATTGCGAAGATGCAAGGCCAAAGCAGCAAGCAAGCCACGTCACAAAGGAAAATTTCTTACAATAGATGCAAACGTACAAAGGAAATAAGCAAGTCGCCGGCTGAAGTTCGTGACTGAATCCCGGTGATAAGAATAATAGCTTTAAATATAAATGTCCAAAGCAAGCCCTGCCATTGGCAGGGATGATAGAAAAAGTATCGCCAATCACACACGCAGGAAACTCTCAGGGATATCAAGCAAAAGACGGAGACGAGATATGTTCCAGGTACAATGAAGAGACTTTGTATGTATGCGACCCTGCGCAATGGTTTATAAGCTGGACTAGGGGAAGAGGAGAGTCCAGGGGAGCGGGGGTGTGCGGAAGGAAGAGGACAAGGAATTGAGGTGAGTTGGGCAGTAGAGGTATAAGCGGCAACGAAAGGCTCAGAAGACTGCTGCCAGGCCATTCTTGGAGTGACGGCGACTGAATCGCTTCTTGCCTTTGACGGACTCTGTGTCTGTGTTCTGGTGCTTAACCAAGGTGGCTCGTCCCGCGGGGGCACTCTCGTTCTGAATCTCAGAGCTGCGGTCGAGAGTATTGGCATGACTCGACAGTCCAGAGGACAAATCACGGAAGGCGTCGTCGGAATAAGAGCCGTTGCCCTGCTGAGACAGGGCCATTTCCCGCGCGCGGTCCAGGCTATCGAGCCACTCCTGGGCCGATACGGCAGTGGCGCCCATGTTGCTGGACGAGGGCTTCGGATCCTCAAAGACAAAATGTTTGTCGCGCTATATGTCAATGTTAGAAGAAGCAATACATCAAATTTATAAAGGAGAATTCACATACCGTATCCACCACCCAGCATGAGAATCCCTTGGAATCCGTCGACGTTCGATATGACGTGCCTGGGGTCAGGAGGGAAAGCTCCAGTTTCGCCTTCTTCTCGTCTCCTCCAGATGCAGCCATGATGATGCGCCCAGACGAAGTAACCATCACCAAGCGCTGCCGCTTCTTCGTGGTGCTGCCGCCAAAGAAGCGAGAGAATTTCCGGGGTGCTTCGTACTCGCCCCCATGTTTCGAGACGGGACTGTGGGCTGCTGGGGATGACAGAACCACCAGATTACCGAGTTTCAAAATCCGCTCGTTGGTTTTGGTCAAAACTGGGGACCACTCGATGTCGAGTTGGCTGGGAGGTGGTAGTTCGGTGACCAGTCGGGGCACCACACGCGAACTGACATTAGTGCTCGAGGCTGCCGGATTAGCGCTGGAGGCATAGCCTTCACCACCGCCGCCATTCAGCTTGATCGGCTCACGCGGTGGTGGAACATACGCCTTCAGACGAGGCGCCTTGCGCTTCCATAACTCCGGGCCCCATGCAATTCCCTGGAAGAACTCATGGTTCTTGATATGCTCGATCGGCAACCGACGAGCTGGATCCAGAACAAGGAGGCGTTCGACGAGATCGCGGGCGACGGCAGGAAAGCCGGCAGGGAAGTCGTAATCGAGCGCAACGATCTTCTGAAACGTCTGATACTCGTTCCCGGCTTTGAAGGGAGGCCGACCCGCTAGAAGCTGGAAAATAATGCAGCCAAAAGCCCAGAGATCACTGGCCTTGCAGGCATTCTTATCCGTCAGAAGTTCCGGGCTTACATATTCTGCTGTGCCCACGAACGAGCTGGCTCGTTCATCCTCCGGGATTTCTGTGGAGTCTAGCGGGGGCATCCCGCTGGAGTCCTGAGGTTTGCGTTGACTCTTGAGGATCTTGGCTGTTCCGAAATCGGTGATTTTGATGTGCATCTGACTGTCGAGGAGAACGTTTTCCGGCTTGAGATCGCGGTGAATCACGCCGCGTTTATGCATGTAGTCTATCGTGTCTAGAATCTGAGCACCGTAGAACCGTGTACACTCCTCGTCGAAGGTGGTCATGCGCTTCAACACGCCCAGCAACTCGCCTCCCTTGCAGAGATCCAGCACAAAATATAACGAGCGCTCATCCTGAAACGTGTAATAAAGTCGGACAATGCCCGGGTGTTCGGTAAGCCGGTTGAGGGTGTCCTTCTCAATGTTCACATATTTCACCTTCTTCTCCTTGATGATGTGTCGCTTGTCCAGGATCTTGATGGCATATTCCTTCAGAGTTTGCCGGTCGGTTCCCAGGACGACGGTACTGTAAGAGCCCTCGCCCAGCGTGTGAGCGAAAGAAAAATCCCGGACGCCCTTCTTAATGTAACGCGCAACCGGCTTGCCGTTGGCATCAATCTCCTGCCTCACGGCGACCGCTGCACCACGATCCTGCCAGTCCTCGCTGCTCGCACCGGGGCCATTCTCCATGGCATACGGAGAGCCTCCCATCTGTGGCGTCGCTCCACCCCGCGCGTGAGCCCTGGAAGTTTGACGCATGATCATGGGACCGTTGGTTGGCGGCAACTGGGCAGTTCGATATGAGCGATCATTGTGGTTATTGTCGCGTACGGGAACACCGGCCTGGAAAGCCGCGGAACCACCGCGAGATTCCGCACGTGCTTGACTTTCGGAGGCGGAGGAGGCCGCGGAATCGGTACGAATACGATAGGAACCCTCCCGAGCAGCTGCCAGTGTTGATGTGGATCCGTTCGCGTAGAAGGCGGACATAGGCCGGGAGGACTGCGGAGCAGGATGTGATTGTGAGGACGACGCGTAAGGAGTGTACTGAGGACTCGTCTGCTGCGGGAGGTCAGAGTAGGGATTGTAGAGGGAGCTTCGGTTGTCTCGCGGCTTGATTGCGGGCTCGACTGAGGGGGAGGTGAGGGTGTCTTGCAGATCTGTCGTGGAGGCAGGAGCAGACGGTCGGGGAGGAGTTGTCGATAAAGAACTGGCCGGTCGTTCGGAGACGATGGTAGGTTCGCGCACCAGCTCGGGTTCCGTTACATCTGCAGCACTGGCAGCGGGCGTTGTTGCAGCATCTTCGGACGAATGTAAGGAAGAATCATCGGGATTAGCGATGCGGAGCCCCCCTAACGATTGGGATAGGCTGAGATCCCCATCCATGATGGAGGTAGCGATGGGGTTGGTGATACACCAAACCTAATTTTTGGGGGGAGAGCAGGATGAGGGTGGAGGATGGAGGAAGAGTTGGGTTTCAAAGGGGGGGTGGGAGGAGGAGGGGGGAAGTGCGGGCGGAAGTAGAGGGAGAATGATGATTTGGGGGGAAGAACAAGGAGGCAGAAAGACGGCGAGAGATTAAGATGGCGGGATAGTGACCTGGCAAGGCACCAGCGTGGCACCAAGCAGAAGGTCGAGAAGGGGGAGGAGAAAAGTGAAAGGAGAGAGGAAGAGAAGAACGAACGAACGTAAAAAAAGAAACGAGCGGGGGAAGGAAGGAAAAGAAGAGGAGAGGGAAGCTGGGAAGGAAAAGGAGCTTCCCCGATGGGATGGGATGGGATGGGATTGAGTCGAGAGAGCGAGGAAGAGAGAGAGAGAGTTAGTTAGTTGGTTGGTTGGTTAGAGAGGGGAGAGCCGGACGGGGGGGATTATGGCGGCGGTCGGAGGAGTAGCGGATGATGCATTGGGGATGTGAAACAACTCTGGCCGGAACCCCAAACACAATGGATTATGGGACACTCAGGATGTAAATAGAACTGACGGATGTGAACTGAAATAATAGAAAAATAGCAGGGGGTGGATAAAAGGGAAAAGGGAGAGGGAGAGAGAGGGAAAGAGAGAAAGAGAAATTCGAGATGCGAGAAGAATAATACGATTGAAGAGGGAAAGGGGATAAAGGGGATCGATGTAGTAGTAAGTAGCAGTAGTAGCAGTAGTAGTTTTACTTGGTAGTAGTAACTAATAGTTAAGAGGTGGTGGTGGTGGTGGTGGTGGTAGTAGAGAGTTACATACGGGAAGGAAAGAGTAGTTCCAAGAGGGAGAATTTCTGCCTACAACTAAACAACAATCATCATCTTATTCTAATCCTCTAATTTATTTTTAAACCTGCCACGGCCTTGTCTCTCTCTTACTCTACAAAAGAAGAATCGTGTCATACGAATAATTAATCAGAATAATAATCAGCATCATCCCAATCGGCATTTGAATAATGCAGCCTGGCCGATGGATCCTCTCTCTTTCTCTGCACAGCTCAATCGGATGCCCTGGAGATGTAGATCTCAGAGGCCTGTAAGCCCCATTCTCCATCTGTGTGTCTCTTACTCACATTCCCACTAAACTATTGACCATCACTACTTTATCTTCTACATTACTATCGACTTGGAATATTTATATCCTTCTGTTTCACTTTCGAGATCGTGACTCTGCTCAGCCTCTTTAATGTTGCTATCCACTGATCCGTTCGAGACCGAGAGACGGTACCGTGGTTCGCTACCATCTCCTGCTCCATCTTCTATACTACTACACCGTCTCTTTCGCAGTCCCCATGTTGGTGCCTATTATAGAACAGATTCAACTATTAATAATATCACTCTCCACCACCACCACCACCACCACCTTCTGATGCCAGTTCATTCTACCATCACTCTGAAATCACAAATCACCTACAGTAATATATATATATTTTCCAGCTGGCTTGATAGAAGTTGTATCTCTCCATCGCACTTGCCATCCGGATGCTCTTTCCTGATGTGCCTTGTAACCTCGTAGTCTAGCCAGATGATTCCCCCGTCCCCATCATGAATAGCTGCACACTGCTGTCCGCCTCTGCACACTTCATGAAAGAGAAAGATAAATAACCTTACAGAGGCATATAGTTGTTCCTGTTGCTCCGCCCAGATTTATTTTTCTGTGTCCATTCCTCATCTGCTATTATCCTAAGATATTTTACATCACACCCATGATTCGATACAAGCCTACACGCATTGCTCTGGGCGATGAAGATCTCCGCTATCATCTGGAAAGGCTGCTAATTCGTCATTCTCGCATGGCCGAGTGGCATCGGCAAGACCTAGACCGTGACAGCTATAGTGATGATAGTGTAGCCTTCTTGGGTTCGGATTTCTTTTCGCCCTACAATCTCTCTCCGGGCGGTTCCGTCTGCAGCTCGGGCCGCGACTCTCCTAGTCAAGGTTCCTGGCAGTCGAATCAAAACAGTGAAGCTGGCCATTCAGGGTTATCCTCCTTGTTCAA